AAAAATAAATATTTAATTTCAGTTTTAATGCAATACTAGTAACATTTGAAATTACGAGATATCTATTTATGTATAACAAAATAATTTGACGTGTGTTAAGTATTTAATGTGGTTTCTTATAAATTATAATGCAAGTTAAATACGCATACCTATTGTCAGTTAATATATTGTTTATTTCAATTAAATTAAATTTTTTTTTTTAATTTTATATTTTAATACAATATATACTTAAATAGTTAATGTCAACTAATAAATAATAATAATAATAATATAAAAAGTAAATATTATTAAAAATAAAATTTGAAGTACCTACAATGAAAATTTCGTTTTTGCACAATTTTGCACATTTTAACAATTTAATTGCACATTTTTTTAAGCGTTAGCTGTACAAACATCCGGTCTTTAGTTATAAGTCATAATACATATTTTGTATTCTTAAATATACATGCATATAATATTTTTATAGTAGTTTTGTTAAAATTGTTTACGAAAAATCGGTATTTCGACTTAGATCGCACTTAGACCAGTATGACTATCATAATTCATAATATGTGCTTTTGTGATATCAAACGTACATAATCGTAATAGTGAGTATAAAGTCTATACGCACAGTGTTGGCGGAAAAGCAGGGCAAAAGCGGCAGCTGCCCAGGGCCCCACCATTTAAGGACCCCGCGCCTTTTATGGCAGTTAATGATTTGTACTTAGGCTTATAATTTTGTTTTTTTAAATCGAAAATTCAAGCCCCGTCTACAGTGGCAACTCGAGGTTTTGTTATGAAACATTCTACGTTTAAACGAAAATTTTGCACTAATGTAATCTAATATTAAAAAGTTGAAAAACAGGTACAGTTTAACAATTTGACTTTTTTGGTCGTTCAATAGGACTATACTCGGGACTATATACTATACCACGACTGCACGGTTACAGTAGACGCGGGACGTAATAACGCAAGGTTTATCGCTAGTCAATCCGGTTCGGATTGATAAAAATGTTTTTTTATAGAATAAATTCATTAAACAATTGAACGGACTGTATATATCTCGCGAGTGTCGAAACCGATAGCTGGGCCGACAACAACTGTACAAAGGCCGTGATCACATACGGCACGAACACACAATAATAATAATAATAATAATAATAATAATAATAATACAGGTAAAGGTTAATATAATATTTTAGTAAACCTTAAAGCACAATTTTTTTACTAATTAAGTACTGTTTATTATACAGTGCGACCTGGCTGAGAAACATTATTGCGAATGATTGATTATATTTTCGTGTCAACGACCGAAGACCGTCGATAGTCTGTTATTGATTTACGGCTCGTTACCATTCGTGGTTATGTACACGCATTGCGCGTGCGATATCACGGTTTACCAGAAAGTTTCTGAAGAAACGACCACTGGACCGCGTCGTCGTCAATCAATATACAGTGTAAACCTTACGAACTGCAGAGTAGGACGTTATTCGAGTCGGTTGGGCGTGTTTTTCTTCACCACTTTTTCAAACTTTTTAATATAATTATATAAGCGTTCGCACCGCCATTGTTGAATAGGTACCGCCAACCAACAGGTGTCGTTCACACGTTCGTCACTAATTAGCCGCCATTCAGCGATCTGCTCGTTCGCGCAGTTCGATTTAATCGTAGACCAGCCACAGCGAAATACTTTTTCTCGACGGACGTCGTGATCGTTTGGTTTTCAACGTTGAAGTTGTCCGTGTACGTCAATAATACGTGTTATATCGTATACATTTGAATATAAATATATCAGGTATGAATTAAACATTTTCAGAATACATTTGTTAAATAATGCTTTTTGATATTTCATTAATTGAAAACTATTTTACATGTCACATAAAAAAATAAAAAACACCAAATGAAATTTTTTTCTAGATAGGTACCATGGGTCTTTGTTTTATATGTAATGAAGAACTGAATGATAACTGTATACGATTATCTACGACCTATACACCGCGTGGGAACGCATCACTTTCAGAAAAAATTGCCTACCTTCTTGGAGAACCATTTATGATAATTGTTAATAATGATGACTACGTATGCAAGAAATGTGCATCATCTTTAAATCAAATTGACAATTTGGAAATCGATCTAAAACTAATTAAAAATTCTATTTTGTCCTGTTTAAGAAAGAAACGTGGAGTATTAGTTAATGTTTTGGATGTCGAGGTATGTATTTTACAAAAAGTAATTTATCTGAGTAGTAGAAAAAGGGGAATTCTGATGTCACCACCACCACCCACTGCCCCCCTGCCACCAACCAACCAACACCATCAACGCCCAGTGCCCACTACACTACTCTCACATGTCACCGCCACCGCCGCCACCACTAACTACTACCCATCTCACCGTGACGCCGCCGCCACCAGCACCACCCACCACCCACCCATCCAATACTGCCGCTGCCGCTTTACCCAGTGATCTCTATCAGATTTCAGTTATTATATTCAACATTGTTATTAGTTATCGCATTATTATCGATTATCATTTATTATTAATTATTATTTACCGCCAACCTAAAAAAATAATATATTCCATATATTATTAAATACTACTATAGTATTTTTATTCTTTATACGTAATTTTAAATGTTCTTATAAAATGAGACGGATTAAACAATTAAGTGCACTATTTGCAAAAAAAATTTAGATATTATACAATATGTATATTGTTTTTATTTAACAATTTCATTTTTTAATGGGTTAAAAAATTTAGAGCACTATTTGCGAAAATATTCTGGTCACGCCTATACGCGTGCAAGTTAACATAAACTACAAAGTATATTGATTCCTCTCAAAAGCAATCCTACACTTTAAACATTTTAAATATACAGCATTCCAGTGCTGTTTTATGAGATTGTACCATCATATTATAATTATTATGAGAAAAATAAAATTTCCCTATCGGTCAACGTACAATTATTTGAATAATCTGTGTGGTTGACGTCAAATAATAATATATGACGACATTGATAACTGACAACAATGTGATAGCTGATAATTGATAGAGAACGCTGGGTGGCGGCGACGGTGACGGCGGCATTGGCGAGGAGTGTAGTGGGTGGTGATGGTGGTGTCGGTACTTATTGACTAGTTATCTGCGCTATTATAAAAAAAAATTTTTTAACTTTATCTTAGGCAATCAAAATGAACAAGGACAATTCGAAGGATGACTATCTATCAAAAATATCTCATCCTCTGAAACTAACTGAACATCCTAATGGCATAATTCAACAAAAAAAACGTCCAATTGAGTTTTTAAATATACGACACAATTCACAACAGGCATCTGAAGTTGAACAACTACCGATGGCACAACAAGTATTGACACCACAATGCGTTTCAAGCTCGCAACAAATACTAGGGAAGCGGTTGCGAGTAATTCTGCCGCAGCAAGTATTGACACCGCAACAAGTTCCAAGTTTGCAACAAATTCCGAGGGAACAAATATTAGGAAAGAAATTACGAGTAAGTCTGCCACAACAAGTATTGATAACGCAACAACAAGTTCCAAGCTTGCAACAAGTACCGAGGGAACAAATACTAGGAAATCCGTTACGATTAAGTTTGCCACAGCAAGTATTGACACCGCAACGAGTTTCAAGCTCGGAACAAATGTCAAAGGAACAATTCCTAGAAAAGCAGTTACGAATAAGTCTGCCCAAACAAGAAATGCAGCAAATTCCGAAGCGGATACCAGAACTAAACCCTCAACTACTTCCGAATCAACCACAATATAGTGCTAACGCATTGATAATACACAAACTAGATACACACGTTCAGTATGTACTTTAAATCTGACATTTAATTACATTACTTTGAAGTTATTATCAAAACTTTCATTTCAGAAAATACTCAACTTCTCAATCAAATAAAATAGAACCGGAAAAACCTATATTTGATCAAAATGCTGATAAAATATTAACTCCGGTAAGCAAAAATGTGTTTTTACTATACATCAATATACAATCAATGAATATTTTTGTAGTTCTTATATGTTTTTATTTTGTTTGATTTTATCACATTTTCTTGTGAACACTAATAAGTTGACCTTAGTATTGAATTTATACATTTTACTGAATGGACCAAAAAAATTTCAAAATCAGCTACAAATTTATACATTAATACCAGCAAAAAGACAAAAAAATTTTATCCGTATAATTACATATTTTAAATTCTTTTATTCATTCCCATATTTTCAAAAATTTTCATTTTTAATTGCATATTAAAATAAAATATGGTATAATTGTTAAGATAAAGTATTCCTAAAAATCCATTCTAAAAATAAAATGTATTGTTAACTTACAGTTAAATTTGACGAAGCGGCGCGGATCAAAGTATTTGATTGTAAATTTTAATTTTAATGTTTAAAAATCATATTTATTTAATAATTTTTATAATCTTTTATTAAATTTTTAAATAGTTAATAAAATAATAATTATAAATGTTTGATGCATTGAAATTATATTTTTAAATTTATATTAAAAGTAAATTAAGTTAAAAAAAAAAAAAAAAACTTGTAGTATTAATAAAAAAGGCCATTTACAATACGTTGACACTACTTATTATTTATTAAATCTGTATACTCATATTATAGCAATTATAGTATCAATAAAAATAAATTTTAGTTGTGAATTAAATAGTAGTAATGATATGATTTATTATTTTTAATTATTAGAACTTTGAGTACTTTTAAATAATCATACTTCGCTTAAAATTTTAAACAGCATAAAAATTCGAGATTGCAACACAAAAAATGTTCTTACCTTTAATTTTTATAATAGATCATTTAATACTTATATTTAAATTAAGTATAATAAATTTAATTCGTTTGAATGAAAATGTATCATGTTGTACGTTTATATAGCGAAAACAACACATGCTGCTGTTGTTTTCTGTTCATAACGAGCATTTAATTTGATTCAATATATAAATTATTTACCTTTTAAATATTAATTTTAATTCAGATAACAGAAAAGAAGAATATAATTTGTATCTGCAAAAAATGTGCCAAACGTTTTGACACTCATGGGCGTTATATTAAACGCACTCAAAAACATCAAAAAAAGCAAACTTTAAATAAGTTTGTGAGTGGAAAATGTAAAGACATAACAATCTTTTATATATTTATTTATTTATTGGTTTTATTTTTAGGCACGAACAAAAAAAAAAATTTCTCCAAGTACTTCCAACATCATAAAACTTATTCCTCAGTCTGAGTTTCGAACAATAAATCAAAATGTGGAATCACCTATAGACGATAATCAACAGGATAATAAAAGAGATATTATAAAAATTTATATGCCATTGAATAATAATTATGTCCCTGATGTAAATTTTGGACAAGAAGGGATATATGAAAGTACAGGGGAAGGTGAAGAAACTAAAACAAGAAGTAACTAAAAAAAAAGGAAGATGCAGTAAGTTCTCAAGAAATTAAGCAAGCTTAAATTTCAAACAATGTTGATAAAAAAAAACTTTGAATTTTGAAAACAAAAAATGACTTGTAAATAAAATCAATGTTATCTGCATTCTGTTTTTAAAATTTTATTTAAGTAAGAAATGTTTAAAACTTATCTAATTATTTATATAATTTGTTGATTAGTTAATAATAATTGTTTCAAAATTTTATAAGTTTAATTACAAAATTTAAAATATATTATTTTCACTAAGATTTTTTTTTTATGTACATAATATCAAGATAACATTATTTCTCGAGTACTACAGTTTAAAGAACGGTATGATTATTTAATAATAGAAAAAAGTTCCCTATTTCGTTTTATAAATTCAAAATTTTTCAATTAACTTAATAATTCCATTTTAGTGTCAAATATTTAAAATATTTTCATTAAACAGTAAAATTAATTTTGTAATCAATAAGTAAAGTTAAAAAAATTTATAAGTAATAAGGCTCGGAAGTTAATGACTTTAAAAACATTAAAAAATGACATAAAAATGCAAATAAGACGTAAAAATAACAAAAAATGATCTAAAAATTATAAATCTATGTTTAAAATTAGTAAAAATACTTTTTTTTTTAATAAGAATAGTAATAATAATAAAAATTATTCAAAATTATGACATTGTACTATTAAAGCATATCTTATATTGTTAAAAGTATAAATGACATCTAGCAATAATTGCCTTATTCTACCAAATCTTTATCTTTATACTTAACCCGTATACAACTAGTATAAAATATTATTTCATAAAATATAAATTTGATGTAGGTACTCATATGCAGTCTGTATAAAACAAAAACTATGTGCGCAAAGATGTTAATTGACAAAATCTAATAATAAAACAAGAAACTAAACTAAAAATAAAAGAGGACCTAAAAATGACAAAAAAATACTTAAAAAGTAAAAAAAGCTAAAAAAATGCAAAATTAAAATTAGTTATATCAATTCACATGTTTAAGAAACACATTTGTGGCCAGGAAAACATCGTCTAATAAATTCCAAAAAAAAAAATGCAAAATGCATCAACTTCTGAGCCCTATTTATAAGCTTGTAAGTTATGAAAAAAAATAATAATTATTACAAATTAAATTTTTTAATATGAAAAATTCATTTTATTTTTAATTAATTAATGAGTGAGATCAAAAATTATAATTAATTTTTTTTTTTTAATGGTTATCATACTCTTGGTGTATACAAGTTAATATTGAATAAATTAAAAATAACAGTCAATTTATATTCATGATTAAATTTATTTGTATTATTTTTAAGATAAATTCATAAGTTACATGTATGGTTTGATCTAGGTCTAAGTTTTTATAATTATTTACTTAAAATCAAATTTATGTATTGCGTATAATTTTACTTTTAAAATAAACAAAAAATAAAATTATTCAAAAATATCCAGTATTATAAATTGTTTATTTTTCGTACGATATTATGTTATAGATATGTAAATTGTCTTCAAAACTCATATCTAATTAAGGTTCCAATTGTTTTTAAAACAACTCTTATACTATAAAAGGACATCTAGTCACAGTTAAAAAAAAAGTTATAAATGATTCCAATGTTATTAATTCAGATTAACATACTTCACTCGAAATATTTGAATATTAATTAAAACTATTAAAAACAAAATTAGTTTCTTGATTTTGAAGAGCAGAAAATATAATTAATAATAACTTATGATAATTATTAATTATTTTTCAATTTTTATCAACTCACATTATGTTACGTTATTTATACTACAATTAGTATTTTATTCACCATTCAATTAAGAAATTTATTTTAAAAATAATAATACTGTTTAGTATGGTATAATTTTCATAAAAATTTGAATAAACAAGACAGTTAAATTAATATTTAAGAAAGAAAAAAATATTAAAGTCGAGTTGTTTAAACATTTATCGTGTATAATTAAAACAAAAGATATTAATAAAAATTATTGAATACATGAAAATCTTAAAAATAAATACATAACAAAAACAATACAATTATTGCACTGCGTACTTAAAAAATATGAAAATATATTATATGTTATGCATTATAATTTATAAAAAACCACACTAAATACTTAACACACGTCACATTATTTTGTTATACAAAAATAGGTATCTTGTAATTTTAAATGTTACTAATATTGCATTAAAACTGAAATTAAATACTTATTTTTATTTGTTTATGTTAGAAATTGCAATTTTAGTATACTAAAATATTATAAAGTTTGAAATATATCATAAATTAATTTTAGTTTACCTTTAGAATGAAAACTAATAATCTGCACGTACTATCCATCTCTAAGGCACGCAGGAAAAAAAAAATTATATAATATTTTTATATATCCACTTCAAAAGAAGAAATGAAGATTTATCTTAATTGTTTTATTTAAAAACTACCACCTAGAGATGTTAAACATAGATCGTAATTTATTCTGAATTTTTTAACAAAATACCAATTAAAATAATGTTTTACAGAAAAATAGCTAACAAAAATGGTGCGTTACTAAATATTTATATTTATTGGTAATATCTACTTATTTATATATTAATAAACTATTAACATAATAAATTTTTAAAATCCATTTAAGAAAAATTATGTTTAAATTTAATCATTAAATTAAGGTAGTCGATACTCTATTACATATTGCCTTATAGTTCATAGATATTTTAATACCCTAAACTAAACACAAAATGGATAAAAAAAAATTATTTGTACAATAATAAATTTAATTATATAGTTATATTAATTCAGTTATTCATTATCTTATATTTCTTTTTGATTTACTAGAATATACAAAATACAACTATGAATGTATTAATTTTCAATTTGATTTAAATTTATTTTAACTTATTCATGATTCTTTTTCATATAT